AGCATTGCTTCCATTTGGTTCAGTAACATTTCTCACTTGGTCCTTAGTGGTATCACTTAGAATTAATTCATGGTAGCCTCTCCTCTGGTTGACTCCATAACCAGCTGTTCTAGGACTCATGAAATGCAGCCTCATTGTCATGACTGGATCACTCATTTATCCAGTCAGTGTGGGGTTATTGATGCCATGATCACAAGACTTCCACATTCTTTATCTGATGGAAGCAAGGTAGCAGTTTAAAAACATGCTCTTGCTGTATCTTCTTCATGAAGTTACCTCTATCAGACAGAAGTTATATAAAATGAATTTGGAATGAGGGAGAGATAATTATGGATGAGTATGCCATAACTGTAGCAATTTTGTTGTTCAAGGATAAACCAGTGTGGCTTACCCCTTACAAGGCCAGTCCTACAAGTTCACAGAGTAAGAGAAACCAAGAAAATTGGTTTATGGAAAAATAGAATCTGTTTTCTTTTAGGATAGGAAGATAATATTTTTATATTTTTTGATTTATTTTATATTGTTAATTTTAATTTTATATTGTTATTTTTGTATTTTATTGTGTTGTAAGCCGCCCCGAGGCTTCGGCAAGCGGCGGCATAGAAATGTTTTAATAAATAAATAATAAATAAATAATATCCAGGACAATATTATCCCTTATGAATTGCTGGGCACAATTTAATATTTAACTATATTCATAAGTTTTATCTCTGATCTACTTGTATAGGGTCCCTATTTTAAGGATATTTTACTTTCAGGATGTTCTTACAGTATTGATACTCATCCCTTTATAATCTGAATGTGTTATAGTTTGACTGGAATTGTAGAATGCTTTTGATAGATTGTTGTAATTTTTGTAATGCATTATTTAAATTAAGAAATAAGAGGCAAGCCTGCAAGTTCAGGCATTTTTATCTGATGCATGGCTGCCCTGTTGGCAAATGACTGTTTCAACCTTAATATGTCGCAATGGGGTGGGAGAAGAGTGCTGGTTCTGTAGAGGACATTGATCTGCTGCTCTCATCATCCCTCATTATCAGCTACGCTGGCTGTGATTGGTGGAAGTTGCAGTCTGCCACCATTTGAAGGCCCACCCCTTGCCTGTGCTGGGGAGAGATAAAGGTACACTTCACCCTTACCTGCTTTCAGTTTGGGTTGAGTGGTCTCTTGCCCTTCTCACTTTTTGGATTTGAGTGTGTATACAACCTGGAAGGATTGCAGGACCTAGTTGCCACTGCTGCTTGTACATAACACATAATACATTTGGCCTGTTCCTTTATCAGTGGTTGTCAAAGCTGCTTATAGTAGGTTAATTGTCTATTATATTCACCAAAGCGCAGTGTTCTGTGTAAAACTGTCATGCTGGTCAGTGAAACAGCGGGGCCTGGCAGCTTTCTCGTGTTGCTAATGAGAGTGGAATTATGAAATGAATACAATGGTTAAATTTTATGTCACTTCTTTTTCTGAAAAATTTGTACTGCACTTTACTATTCAAAAATGAACACCCAAACTGGCTAACAGTAAAGAATGACAGGCTGACAGAATCTAATACAGATAAAGCATTGTTTGTTTGTTATATGTATAGCCCACCTATTTCCTGCAAAGAACTTAAAGCCGTTTCCATACCCCTCTTCTTTCTATTTTCTGTTCTCACAACAGACCTGAGAGGTAGTTCAGGCTAAGAGTCAGTGACTGGCCAAAGTCACCCAGTGAACTTCATGGCTGAGCAGAGACTCAAACCTGAGTCTCTTGAGGCCCAGTCCTGTACTAATTTCCATCCCACATTGGCTCTTGTTTAAAAAAGGATTAAAACAAATCAATACATATCAGAGCAAAAAATAACAGCAGTGATAAACCCACTTCCAAGTCCTCTAGTGAAGAGTTTTTAAAGGCAAGTTGGAAAGCCTAACCCTAACCCTAACCTGACTAACATCTTGTGAGATGAAGTTCCAAAACTGTATGCCATGTATGCCATCTGTATGCCAGCACTTCTAGAGGGCACCATGTTGGGGAAGGTTGCTTTAGGCCGTTTAGGGCAATCCTGTTCCCACTTACCTGGGTATAAGCCTTGCAGAATTTAGTAGGATGCTTCTACACAGAACAATGTAGGACTGTTTAAGGTCAATGCCAGCATTTTTAATTGGACCCAGAAGCAAATGAAGAGGTCCAATTAAAGAAGTCCAGTGAGGTTGGTATATTTGTACAGGTCTTGTGCTCTCTTTGGTGTGTTCTGCTTTGTGCTGACTGAAGCTTACAAGCCGCAAACCAAAGCCAGCTCTGAACAGAGTGAGTTACAGTAATCTAAGGCATGCATGACTGTAGCCAGATCATATCTTCTAGGAAAGGGCTCAGCTGGCTTGTACCAGTCAAAGCTGGTTTAAAACACGTTTGGCCAACTCTTCCACCTGAACCTCACAGAACAATGCTGGGCCCGGACTATTCCCAAGCCATTCAACCCATTCCTTTAGGGAGAGTACAGTCCAATCCAGGATAGGTTGAACACCTAAGCAGCATTATATTCCATCATCGTACAAGAATATAGAAAAGATAATGTAACACTGCTATATGGTCCAGTCTTGGTTTCCACTTTTTTTGGCACAATTGGGAAAATGAATAAACCACAGTGCAGACTGTACTCAAATCCCATGAATGGACTTTGTCTCGGTTTCACACATCCAGGCAGGACAGGAATAAAGTTGGGGATGGGGTTTTATTAACAGCTTAGATATTCTCCAAATGGCATCGGTCCCTTTGAAATAATCATGAGCACACTTAATGCAGCCTTGGCTGGTATCATTTCTCATACTTAAGCGGAAGTGTGCCTTAATGGGAGAGCTTCAGCCAAGCAACATTAATGACTCGAGGTCATGACAGGGCGCTTCTGCATAGCCCTCTTTATTTGACAGCATCGATTCTGCATGGGTCACCCCATGCCAGCCTCACTGTCTGGGCTGCTCATTTCCTTCTTTCCAGGCAAACCGCCTTCCAGAGTGGGCTTCTCTTCTCCCCACACACTTCCCCTTGCTTTTGTTACACTGCACTGCTGGTGACCAGTATCAAGCTGGCATTATTCCTTTTTTGCCTCTGGAGCACAGCTGGTTAAATAGGAAAATCAGTATTCATTCCATGACAGGCAGGCCAAGAATAATCACCGTACCCACCATCAGATACTGATCTAAATCAATGTTCTGCTGCATCAGCAGGCTAAAAATACCCTCTCTTGCTACGCTTGGCACATCAGGCTATTATAAGAGCAATTGGAAAGGGGGAGGAGGTGCTCATGGATAAGGGGGCTGCAAGGTGCTGTCAACTGCTTCCATCTTTCTCCCTGAATTACGTTTGAATCAGTACAGATATGGCGTTTACTGTTGAAGGCTGCAGTGGAACAGCCTGTGTGTGTGCTTACTTGCTTGGTCGCTCGCTCATTCGCTCGCTTGCTCTCTCTCTCGCCCGCCCCACCTCCACCCTCAGTACAAATATCTTAGGACAAAGGTTCCCAAGGCAGCTGTAATGTGCCCACAATGCATGCATGGAATATATTCTGCTACTGCTTGGGAGGTTTTGCTGTCACAGCAGGCATGGAGAAAAATGTAATTGGATCTTTTAAATTGAAGCACTCTTCCAGGAAGAGGCAGAAACCGCAGCTGTACCTGCTTGAGTGTCACGGGGCTTTCAACCAGGCTCATTTGAAAAATGAAGGCACACGGTGATGTATGTGTGCATGTGTGTTTGTCTTTCCAGAAACCCAGTCCAGCCCGGTACTTCAAGAAAGTAAATGCTCCTTCATTTATTTTCTTAGTTGCTGCTGCCCAGGGAGGAGGCCCTATCCTCAGAATCTTAACTTTTGTCCTCATTTTCTTTGCCATCTCTTCTTTTGGGGGAACCTCTTTCTATCAGCATGACAAGGAGATGTACATTTTTTCCTTGAGCATTGTGCATCTAACAGGCATCTGTCTTAACGGGCATTTGCCTGTTCCCCCATCCAAAAACTTTCTTGTGACAATTGTCATATTAGAAATGGTTCCCAAGGTGCCTTGTGTGTCTCTCCTCCCCACAGTCCCCATATTCTGGGATTCTCCACAGCAGCATCATAAAGTGCACATTTATTTGCTGGTGCCTCCTTTAACATCCGTGAGCACCTACAAGTGGCCACCCACACAAACACACTTGCACACATACTTCACCGTGCCCCTTCAGCAAAGGTCCTGATTTCAGATCAGGAAATCGCAACCCTTCACTAAACAAGAGTAACACCTCTGATTATAACTATATAATTTCTTTTTTCTTTTTTGTTTATTTAAAATACTTACAGTCGTCCTTTCAGGGCAGTAGTCCTCAAGCAAAGCAAAAGGGTGAAAGGGAAGACTGCCAGCATGAGAAAAAAGGAAAGTGGAGAGCTAAACATTTTCTGGAAACTATTTAGGGGCACATGTGTTTCAAGTTGTAGTTCTCTTTCTTCATCAGGAGACCTGAAAAGGTCCCATGTCTCAACATATGGTAGGCTCTAATGCACTAGCTGTGTTCAGACAAAATAACTAATACTCAAGGGTTGAATATGGGTTGGGCATAGCTCATTGTTGAACCATAGCTTGTTCTGCTTTTGTCGGAACCCAGCTGCAATAACAAGCTATGGTTTGCTAACCACGAACAAACTCTGAAGAGAGCACATGTTTTGTGGTCAGGTTGTATATTATCAGCTGTTTATCATGGTTCCTTGACTGTGTTCAGACAACAGCATAACCCACATTTCAGTGGCAGTTCTTGATTCAGCAGCAACCCATATTTAAACCTTGAGTGCAGGTTATCCAGTTGTCTGAACCTGGCTGGTGCCTTTGGTGATTTTTGAGCGGTCAGTCTTGAGAATGAAGGAATACCTACAAGGGTTCCTGTTGTCTGTGCAGGATGGAATGAACCTTTGTGCCAGTCACTGCAGGTAGGGCCTTATGGACTGAACGACACTTCAGATGACCAATCCACTTTGTTTCCTCTTTCCTGTCTAGTTTCCTTATGCTGCCCCACCACCGCAGGAGCCAGTGAAGACATTGAGAAGCTTGATCAATGTCCGCAAGGACACATTGCGCCTAGTCAAGTAAGTTTCTTTAAACAAAGGTTTGTAATATCCTGAACTTTGGTCTCAAGTGGAAGCAAGAAAACAGATTAATAAGGGTTATAGTCAGGGAGATGTTTTGAGACTTTTTCAGAGGAATTTGCTTGCTTGTGTGTATGTGTGTGTGTTCATGTTCTTTGACCTGCGGAATCCGAATTTGTTTGCACAGAGCAACACATTTTGGGGTTGACCCTAAAATAAGGGTGGCAGCCAATCCGTAACAGCATATACTTGCATTTGGAGTCACCATTTAACCAATTTTGATGTAATCTTGAGGACCCCTTAATACTGAGAGTCTAAGTTGAAAATACATAGAGAGCTATAGTAGGATACACACCCCAATTTTTCTGAGTGGCCCCATCGCCACGACAACCATTTTGTGACTATTCCTGCACACCCTCAGCAGTCATTTTCAGTCATACATTTAATGTCTTTTTAGCAATCCAAATGTAACCACAGGACACAAAAATACTGGGGACTCTTCTTGTAAGATAATAGGTGCTATTTCTGAACTGTGCATTGCTCTAATCACAAAATGAATTCCATTTTATTAATAATACAGTGTGTTTAGCAGCCATTCTTAGTTTTAATATCTATAGTTTCGGCATTAGAGTGTTGCAGAAGGCTGCTCTGTTGATGTTCCTTTGATGTTAAGGAGCGGGCTTGCTCTCTTGGCTTCCATCCTCGCTTTCAGAGTCAAGGTAAAGCATGTTGTTCAGTACAAGCAGCTTCAGACTCAGCAGGTCAAAAGGCATGAAACACACTCAAATTCCCCTTAGGCTGGCTCAGACCATGAGGCTGTAAGCTCAGCAGTAGCACATGCTTTGTGTGCAAAAAGTCCCAGGTTCAGGCTCTGGCATCTCCAGGCAGGACTGGAAAAGACAGCTGCCCAAGAGTCTGGAGAGCCATGACTGCCAGTCAGTGTTGGCAGTACTGGGATAGATGGACTGGTGCAGTAAGTCAGCACAAGGCAGTTTCTGTGCTCATGACTTGGTGCTTATGTTTCAAGTACTTGGTTATTTCCAGTCCTTTTAATTGAGAATCTTTTGGGTAAATGTGCAAAGAATTGGGCAAGGGACTTTCTAAATGCAAAGCGTATGTTCTATGGCCCTCCCTTTATAAAAGTTTCTGCCAGTGTAACTGTTTCTTAAGGCACCAAAGATATCTTCACATTACAAACTGGAAATTTAAATCTTTGCCGCTCTTAAAAGTATATTCCAGTGGGGGACAGCATGATGTTCTACCCTTTGATTGTTGGTGGTTATTCATATGGACAAAAGATGCCCTCTGTTTAGATGTCTGCATGCTGATCCTTATTTTACTTCTTGAACCTGGGGTCAAAAAAGAACATGTTTAGATAATAGAAGGTGTGTACAGGCGCATCAACTGTAAATGATGCATATGTGTGATGCTAGAATTCCCTTCAGTGCATACTAAACTGAAGAGCTGATCCTTTTCTGATCGAAGCTTGTGCTTCTGCCCATATTCCCCGCTCCCCACATTAAATATGAGACCAGGAAAGAATCAGGGGCCCTCCACTTCTGTATTTATCCTTGGGAAACTCAGCTATTCAGATACATTGGCCATCTCTCAACTGATGGTGACATGTGCTGTTTTGCTCTTCAGAAGGCTGGCACTTTTTGAATATGACTAAAAATAGTAACATGGGAATTGGCTACCAGTTCTGGGTGGCTCTGTTTTGAAGTAGCCTGTTGAAAGCAATCCATCAACAGCTCTGTGCAGCAGGGGATATCCGTGTGTAGCTCCTCAAGATTAGTGCAGAGATTAAGAGTGGCTGCTTTCGAGAGGAGTTATGCAGATTTCGGTAAAACTGCTCGCCTTCCTTGTGTCTCCATCTTCCCTGCTTGGCTTTCAGCGTCACTGCAGGTGACAACAGGATTCAGATGATTCATTCTGGTTGCTGGGCTGGAACTGCTGCCAAATAAAGTTCAGTGTTTTAGAGTGGAGGGGACTGGAGGAGTTCAAGGAAAATAGACTTTGCAAAGACTAGGCAGTGCTACAGTGGTAACAACCTGAGTGCTTTCCACCAGTTAGAGGCCAGGGAGGTGAGTAATGCCTCTTTGCAAGAGGGAGTGATCCCATGCTGCCTTAAGAGGTGATGGTGAGACCACTTCTGAAGAAACCTTCCCTTGACCCAGAAGATCTGAATAACTTCAGTCCAGTAGCAAATGTTCCTTTCCTGGGCAGGGATCTTGAGAGTGGTTGCCAATCAACTGCAAGCACTCTTGGATGAGACTGATTATCCATTTCAGCAGCCTTGGCTGCCCTGTATAATTAACTATGCTGGGAGAGAGGGAAGGGAGTGCGACCCAGTTGATACTGCTTGACCTCCTGGCAGCTTTCAGTACCATTGACCATGGTGCCCTTCTGAAGCAGCTTTCTGAGTTGGGCTTTGGGGACACTGCACTGGCGTAGTTTGGTCCTACATAGAGGGCTGCCTCCAAAAGGTGGTGTCTGAGCAGAAGGTTGTTTAGCCCAGTGGATTCTTCAACATGTGGTTTCTCAGGGGTCTGTTCTGTCCTCCATACTATTCAACATCTACATGGAACTGCTGCATGGGGTAATCTGGAGTTTTGGAGTGTGTAGCTATCGGTATGCTGATACAAACAGGTCTGTTTCTCCTTTCCTCTTCAGCAGGTGAGGCTGTGAGTGTGCTAAACCAGTTCTTGGTTGTGACAGTGGACTGGATGAAACTGAAATTCAATCCAGACAAGATTGGGATGCCGTTGCTGGGTGGTTTCTTTTACCAGATAGAGAGTGTTCAACCTGTTCTAGATGGGGGTTGCCCTCCCCTTGCAGGAAGAGGTTCATAGCTTGGGAGTGCTCCTTGATCCATCTTTGTCACTTGAGATTCAGTTGGCCTCAGTGGCTTGGAGTGCCTTCTACTAGCTTAAGCTGGTGGCCCAGCTACGTCTCTATCTGGACAGGGATAGCCTGGCTTTGGTAATCTATGCTCTGGTAATCTCTAAACTAGATTATTTCAATTCACTCTACGTTGGGCTGCCCTTGAAGATGGTTCAGAAGCCGTAGCTGGTGCAGAACATGGCAGCCAGACTAATAACTGGGACTTGTATGTCTAAACACACAAGACTGGTTCTGGCCTGCTTGCATTGGCGGCCTATATGCTTCCAGTTCTAATTCAAGGTGCTGGTTCTATCCTATAAAGCATGGGTCCTCAAACTAAGGCCCACAGCCAGATCCGGCCCGCCATGCCCTTTTAACCAGCCCGCCCCACAGGTTTTGCACTTGCCGGGCGCTCATGGCTGGCTTGTGAGGAGGTCATTTTGGACTCCCTGAGAAAACGGTCTCCTCATGAGCAAGCTGGCACCTCGCCATGCGCGTGCCCGGCAGCAGCTTGCTTGTGAGGAGGTTGTTTTGGACTCACTCAGAGAAAATGATCTCCTCGTGAGCAAGCCAGCACCTCACCCCGTGTCCCACCCCCGTCCCCGCCTTGCCCTGCGTGCACGTGCATGTGCCCACGCCCTGCCCCCCCCCCCCCCCCCCCCCCCCGCCAGCACCACCTTGGCGGCCCGTGCTCACCACTGGCACCTGTCAGCTGGCCCCCTGTTGAAAACGTTTGAGGACCTCTGCTATACAGCCTTACACAGCTGAGGACTGCCATACCTGTCGGAGTACATCTCTCAAGCGCAATTTACTTGGACACTGAGCTCGACCTCTGGGGCCTCCCTCCACATGCCACCTCCAAGGGAAGTGCAGAGAGTGGCACCAAGGGGGAGGGCGTTCTCTGGTGGCTTCCCATGTATGGAACAACCTCCCCACTGCAGCCTGGTTGGCACCATATTTGTCATATTTTTGGTGCCAAGTTAAGGCAGGCCTCTTCTCTGAGGCTTTTAAAGACGCACTTGGGCCTGAGAGGGATTACCCGTCCCAGGTATCTTGCAGAGTCATTGTTTGGTATTGTTTGTTTTTAGCTGTTTTAAACTTTTTAATATTTTTTCCAATTTTCTGATGCTTTTATTGCATTTTTATTGTCTCTTTTTATGGATTTTTGTAACGGCAACAGTGTGTCCTGGGAATGGCCCTTCTCTGGCCCTTCTCTCCTAGCATCCTGTACCTTCAGCTACTTTCAGGAAGTTGTTGCCAAGGAGTGGAAATTCAGGTACAAAAAGGAAAGTAAGGGGAGGAAAACCCATAGGCAGCAATATCCGTTCCGCAGTGAGCGGATATATGGAGAGATGAGTTCTAATAAGAGCTGAGGGAAACCAGTGCTGTCTCTTACCTTGCCCCAATTTGGAATAAAATGAACTAGTACCCCTGGAATCCTGATGTAGCTTGCAAGGCTGATTGGCGGCAGAAGTACAAGGACAGGAGAAAATCTTCCCATTCTCACTGTCTTCCCTCACACTAACCTCAGAGGCACACAGAAATATATATTGGGTTTTATTTCCAAGAAACATCTTCAGGATGAAGCTTGGCCTCTTATCCAAAGGTGCAGCTGGGAGTATCAGTGTTGCCTTGAGCTGCCCATTCCCCCGATTCTGTTTCAACAGGCCCGAGGCTGCAGTGAGAGTGCATGTGCATTTGTTTGGAAGGAGAGGGGAGATCTCACATGATGCCACATTTCATGGTTCTGCTTAGAATGTGGCAGCCATATGGCTTACATGCACGCTCTTAATTGGTGCTGGCATTGTGCTAGATTTAATAATAATAATGAGGCATGTCAACAGTGGGTCAGTAGGGAGATAAATGATTAAAGGGCTGTTAGAAAAAGCAACAGGAGCCCTTGCACTTTAAGCCACTTAAAGTGCTATAGTGTGAACCTATGATCAGTATTCCTTTGGGATCCCTCTGCTCTTACAAAAGCAATAAGCCCATGATTTCCCCCAGAGAATCCAAACAATAGGCAAGGAAGCCCAGGATGCAAGGAAAGTCATAGTTGGTACTTTCTCTTTCCGTCCTGAACATTTCTGGACTTCGTCATTTTTCTTTAAAAGTCAGTGGGGTAATCAGACCTCAGTCACTTTCTTTGGTATACAGCTGGAACAATTCTCTTATAGAGTTGTTCTACTTTTATCCCCATAATACACTGTTGCAGTAATCTTGTTGTAAATAGCTGTTGTCCCAGACTTTGGATATGTAGCCAGAGCTTAATAGTAAGCTGGCCCTTGAATGCTTTTCTAGATAATGTCTTTTTTAAAAATGCTTGTTCTGTTCCCCATCTCACAGGGCCAGTGCTACATCCCATTCTCATGTAATGAATGAGAATAGTGTGAGCAAGCCTGCCGAAGGACAGTACAAACTTGCTTCAGGAAATTGGCTTATGCACTGTTCTTTCTTGCACTCTTTTCTTCAGGCACAGAGTACTCCAGGTTGGGAGGAGCAAAATGCACAGCCTAGTCCTAAAGGGAAGGAAAAGGAAAAATGCAAATAGTGAGCAAAATAGCGGACAGTTGCTGGCGTTCACTAGTGTTTTTCTCCAAGGTGTTGAAGGATAGATCAGCGTCTGATAGTGGTAAAGAGTAGTCCACCTTTTCAAGCAAGAAAAGTAATTGTCTACCTTATTGGTCTAACAGTGTCTTGATCTACCAGGTGTGCAGAGGAAGTGAAGACACCGGGAGAGGAAGTCAGCAAAGCAAAAGTCCATTACAACGTGGAGTTCACATTTGATACTGACGCACGGGTGGCTATCACAATTTATTATCAAGCTACTGAGGAATTCCAGAATGGAGTTGTGAGGTAATTAAGGGCCACGTTGAAAACAGGAATGTAGAACCGATCAAGAATGTGTTCGCCAAAGTACTATGACAATTATACCTGATTCTTTTCTGCACACTCAAAAGGGGAGTTCAAATGAGCTCCCACTACATGAATATCCAATATCCAATGTGAAAAGGAGACTGTTGAGCTTTGCCTGCTGGCTCTGCCCCTTGAAAACCACATCATCCAAGTGTCATTTCAAAGGGGTGCTTGCTCATTTGCATATACAGCTGTACAATCAGAGACTTTCAACATGATCTGGACTCCTCCACAGTCAGGGTTTCTGTGCACGTTCGCACGTGTGTGTAGAGCCCACATTGACGGGCACAACGTTGGGGATGCTCTGTCTTCCTCCCCATCCATGTGTTGAATATATGCATATAGGGGGGTCATTTGAATGCCCCAAAAGAAAGTGGAATCCTCTTTTTTATTTATTTGTTCATTTTTATTCTGTATATCCTGCTTGAATATGCTAAAAAGCCATCAAGGTGGTATACAACCTTTAAAGGCAGTAAAACAGGAACATTAAAAATAGTAAAACATTAAAAGGACACATTTTAAAAGGCTAAATTGAAAAGAGGTATCATCACATCCTTTCTAAAAGCTGGGAGTGGAATCAATTGATGTTCTTTTACATTTTAACCTCTGCCATATTGTCACACATCTCCAAGAACTGAGAGCTTGTGAGGGTTCTAATCCATCCCTTTAGAAGGAAACATAACTGGAGAGTAATTGCTTGACTTCTTATATTGACATAATATTGAATGTAGATTAAAGTAAACAGCCTGGCATTCTTAACAGTAGAGCCATTGATTGTCCCTTATCAGATTCCCTCAAGAAGGAAGCTCAGGAACACCCAAAGAAGCCTTTAGACTCTTAGCAATGGGAAGGTGTCAGAGACAGGGGAAATGTACCACTAAAGTTGCCAATAGGTGCTTATGGTACATGCAGCTAAATTAAGCACGAAACTTATAGTCGTGCTTAATTAGTTGGATGGCACTGTCTGGAAATGACACTGCATTTTCTCCGCCAGCAACAAATAGTGCAGGTTGTGCTTCCCTTCCAGAAGGAGCACTTCTTTGAGACACTTTAGCACTTGGCAAACAACTGCAAACTGTACAAAATAAAATTATCAGTATTGTCAGAGTGTCAGCTGGTGGGTGGTATAGAAATACAATTAGTAAATTAATAAATTTGCCAGAGTGTAGAGAGGTCAAAAAGTGCCTAGTTTTAGAATTAACTGCACTAAAGATGTTTTGAGTATTCATGCTAAATAGCAAACACAGCAAATCATCTAGAGCTAACTAACTGTAGAAGCTTTCACTGGCTAGAGTTTACTTTATCTGATCCATGAAGTGTTATCCTCAGTTGACAGAGATATATATCCATGAGCAGAGAGAGGAAAATGTGAGCAGTAAGGTCAGAGGGAATCAAAATGTGGAAGTACAGACTCTGACAATTACATCATAGCTAAATATATAAAATAAGCCAATATTGGCTCATTCACAAGCCAATACTGATGATAACAGAAGTATCCAAGCATTGTTGATTAACTCCTTTAATAGAAGGTAGCAAGCACTAGAGTAAAGTTCAGATGTGTAGGTTGTATCCTATGTAGAGTAAACCCACTGAAATGAATGGACCTTAAGCTAGTCCAGGGGTCCTCAAACTTTTTCAACAGGGGGCCAGTTGAAAGGTGTCAGCGATGGGTGCGGACTGCCAAGGTGGAGCAGGTGGGGGGTGCGGGCCGGGCTGGACCTGGCCAGGGTGTGCGTGGAGATCATTTTCTTTGAGCAAGTCCAAAACGACCTCCTTGTGAGCAAGCCGCTGCTGGGCATGCACATGATGAGGCGCCGGCTTGCTCGCAAGGAGATCCTTTTCTCCGAGGGAGTCCAAAATGATCCCCGCATGAGCAAGCTGCCGCTGGGTGTGTGCACAGCGAGTCCAAAACCTCCATGGCGGGCCGGATCCGACCCACAGGCCATAGTTTGAGGACCCATGAACTAGTCTAATATTGGGTACAGTCCCATGCTTTATTCTGCAGAACTTGTACTTCCTGTGCATGATACTCTAAGGCTAAGCAGGTGGGTACAGAAGAGATGCTGCTGCAAGCATCAGAAGGTTCAGGGAGGGAATCAGCATGTGAAATCACATGGAATCCCAACAAGTAAACAGAGAAATTGAAGGCAAGAACAAAAGCAGGTGCGAGGCCCAAACACAGGCTATTAACCAGTGTTTAGCTGGAGACTGTTAACCTGTGTTCAGTCAGCTCATCACAAGGCCATGCAACAAAGCATTTTTCAGCAATAGAAGAACAACATGGCATGTTGCAAAGGCCTTGTGATGAATCATTGAAAGTACAGGAAGCACGAATCGACTAGGCACAGGCTATTAACCAATCAAACTCCGGAGAGTGGCCTCAAGGGCACCTTTAGCAATTTAAACTGTAGACTCTCAGGATCATGCCAGCCCGTGGAAAGGCTGGATGAAGCCCAGAATGACTTTGGACAACATGCACTGACTTCCACGTGGAATGGTTTTTGATGTGTCACTGCAGATTCCCAAAGAAGCAGTAGCAAAGTATTATCCCAAAAGCCACTCTGAGCTGAATTGTGCGGATGCTGCCAAGATGAAAATGAATGCCTTCCAATGGATTAATGTGCTTGGCATTTAGTACAGGCTGTTGCACACTGCATTGCCCTGAAATGAGCCCTGAAGATACCACTAGAGCAGGACTGAGCAGAGGGTGGTTCTCCAGGTGTGTTGGACTTCAGCTCTCAGAGCCTCCTGCCAGCACAGCCAATGGCCGGGAATGCTGGAGGGCCCTGAGCATCTGAGGAGCATCCTTCTGCCCAGCGCTGCACTGGAGAATCTTGATGGGAGGCTTGATCTGGATAATTGGGAATTAGCCCTGCAGGTGGAGGCATTTATTAGGCAGAACTGAAAGTAGCTTTGAACTACAGAATGCCTTTCAAGGAGGATTACTTGTGGGGGATTTATGTGCATGTTTATATAAAAATTTCTGCACCAACCTTATTTATGCATCACTCGGGGCAGCTTTCAACAATTAAAGTAATTCTGCTGTCATAAAGCAACAATATCAAGAAAAACAGCAGAGGCAGGCAGAACAGATTTTATAAAACTAAACCTCGGATAAAAAACATTTGTCTGCCTGCCTGCCTGCCTGCCTGAACAAGGAAGTCACTACTAACCAGTGGAAGGTTGTTCAGGAGGGGTTGGTTCATTTGACTTGGGTTCCACAGCCTGGAATGCCACATGCTGGGATGCAGCCACAGAGAGCTTCAGCTTTTGGGCAGCGTAGAAAGAAAATTAAGAAGCGGAAGAAGAGGCACATGTGCCCTGGTTTTTCACTTTGTCTCCTCCCCCTTTTGTGGCAGCTACATCCCCAGAGACAACAGTTTGCAGTCCGAGACTGTCCATTACAAGCGAGGAGTGTGCCAGCAGTTCTGCCTCCCCTCCCACACTGTGGATCCCTCTGAATGGACTGAGGAGGAGGTAAGGCAGAATGGCCTCGAACGTGAAGGAGCTTCCTCATATTCCCGCGCTGCAGGCGCTTGGGTGTTCTGCGCAGAATTGCAGTCTTTCTCCTTTTCTGAGGCAGGATCCTCCGCACCAGATCATTATAGCACAGGACCGAGCAAGTTTAAATGGTCCACACAAAAAAGGCAGTGGTGACCGCATACAGTGTTGGCTTTGAATGTGGTTTTGTGTGGTTTTTTTCAAGGGCAGGTGGGATGGGCAGCATGGAACAGATAATGAGGCCGAAAAGCTTAGTTTCCACCAATTGTAGTGGAGAAGACAGAGACCCGGAGGCAGAAGGGGAAACAAGCTTCATGTTCTATTGTGCTGCTTCAAAAAAACAAAACAAAAACACCTGCTTGGGCACTCCAAGAGGATTGGGGTGGAATGGGGGCTGGGGAACATGAAATGGATCGCTTGCAATTCCCCTTGCTGTCTTTATTTTTACTCAGAAATGAAAACCAGTACAGGTCAGCAGCTGGGGAGAGGAAATTTCATTATTTATGTTCCTGCAGTTTCCCCCACCAGAGCAGTTTTGGGTAGGAAAACAACATCTGTGCCTTTTTGCTACTGGTAAATATTGCACAGGGAAGATTTAGCGAGAGAAGCAGCATAACCAGGAAGGGAATAATTAAACTCTCCCATCCCTGCTTAATGTGGTCCCAGTTTTCATTGATTTCTGTATTTGCTTTTGAATAAAAGCAAAGAAAAAATGTAGCTGCATGGTCCATATTCCATGTGACCTCTAGTCAGTCTCATAGTCACTATTTCTTAGGTTGCAAACCCAATTCTTAAACCGTTTCTTCTCTACATTTCTGTGCCATGTGAGCTTGCACACAACTTTCACAGAACAACAAAAACAGGGCAAGAAAGAATCCAAAGGTATTTTTAATGTCTTGTGTGCAGAACACAATTTCTATTGAGTTTTATTGGAAGGAAGAAACTGTTTGTCTTTACAGCCTGAGCTATGGCCAACATGCATCTTCTCCAGTCATATTTCTCTAAATGCCAAATTTTGTGAACACTTGCAGTTGCCAAATTACAAACTTTTTCATCTTGACTCTTTTGATATGCCTCCTTGGCACAGTTGGCCACATCTCTGGCATATGTGAATCATAGCAATAATTATACTGCTCTAGCTGTTCTTTTACCTTAAAACTGCTTCAGTTTTGCTCCTTATTTTTTGCAGCTGGGCTTTGATCTGGACCGTGAAGTCTATCCCATGGTGGTTCTTGCAGTGGTGGATGAGGGAGATGGTAAGGGATGTTCTTAAGGTTTAAATTCATTCTGAACACTGATTGAGCATGGATGCCCAAGTGAGTGTCTGTGGGTCCATGAGATCCTTTGGGCTTCCCTATCCAAGGTTGTAGATAGTGTTCTGATTGTGAAGCAGGGGTTGGAGAAGCAACTCTATTCCCCCATCCCATTGCAGCCAGTGTGGAATGGCACTGGCTATCCTGCAGGGCTGAGAAAGTGACCTAGAAGAAGGAAAAAAGGGGGCCTTTCAGTGTGGGGAGGAGATGCTAGGGTAAGAGCTCTCCTGAAGCCTCTCCAGCCTCTTTCCCTCCCTCTCTGAAATGCCCCAGCTAGTCAAGCAAAAAGGCCCATTTAGCAAAAAATGCCGGGCAGGAGAACAGGGCGGCCAAGATGGCTTCTTCCGCACCTCCTGCTCTGCATCGGGTGACTGTATCCCTGCCAGCGGGGGGCATGTCATCATTGAGGGTGCAGCCCATAAAACTGGGTGCAAGTTATCACTGTACTTTTATAACATGGTTTTTGATTAAGTAACCACATTCCAAGTGTACATCAGATGCCCTGCTGAGTAATATTAGCAAACAAATACACTCTGAAAACTGCTTGCGATGAGCTATTTCCACAGATTTAATTGACATTAAAAATTAAACTACCCTCTGTTAGAGAATCAGGCAGCTGCAGGGGGTACAGAGACATGAGAGTTGCAGGAGGCCTGCGGGTTTCTGAGTGCATGTAAATGCCATACAGCCTCGCCCGCTTTCTTGTTTTGCAGATCATATGGGTCACTGCCACGTTCTACTGGCCACTTTTGAGAAGGTGAGTGCTTCTGTGGACCGCTTGTCCAAGTTAGCTTCCATGCACAGGGTTCCAGTTCCAGTGGGTTCCAGTTCCCGAATGTCAGTATAGAGCTTACTCTTTAAGCAGGTCGTGGTAGATAGAAAGTCTCATGTGCTCCTTGGGGAACTGGCAGGCGAGGCTCCCGAATCTAGAATGGCTTTGCAAGGGAAGTGGGCATGATGAGGCAGCCCCATTGCAAAAGCCTGTGTTCAGGAAGAGGGGTAGGCAGGCATGTCATCTTGCCTGGGACCCACTAGAAGCCGTACGCCCCCCCCCCGCCAGCTCCAGTTTTGCCATAGCAGTGGCAAGGAAGGGCTGATTTTGCAAGGAACAGAGGCGTGTGGGAGGTTTGTGTCTCGTTTGCAAGCAGAGCCATGGTGGTAGATCCAGAAGGGGGCATGTACACATGGACATGGGGCACTCCATCCAGCTCACAGGCTGCATGTTGCGCACCCCTGCTTAGATGCTCACTGGGGTCAGCAGCTCCAGTGTCTTCTCTGGCTCCTACTCACCACCATCTGGGTAGACAATTCCAGAAGCAGGGAGAATGTCTTGGGCAGCCAGCCAGTCTCCCAGGTCATTTGAGCCATGCTCAACTGGTGGCCCTGCTCTCTGAACAGTGATGACCTCTTTGGCTGAAGGAGAGAATGGGTAGACACCCCAGAGCCTCTTCACTGAATTGGGGGGCCCAGACATTGGCAGCTGAAGACATTGCAAGCTCTGCAGGCGACTGGGGAGGTGGCATTTGTGAACACGGGTTTGACCCTCTGCAACACAGCGGCAGTATTGCCTCCGCTCTGTCCGCATGAGTATGTCCAAATCCCAGAGAAAAGGCCATTAACGTTTAAAGTGGTGCACAATCTGAAAACATGCTGTTAGAACCCAGGCGAAACCCTCTTTAACTCGTTTTTAGCAACCATGAATCCTTGCACTTAATTAAGTGGCTTGCATATTTCTTTCATGTAGCTGTACGTGGTCAAGCAAAAGTACACAATATTTATATAAGTTCAGTGTGAAATAAATATATTGAAATGGAGGCTGCCTTGTTAATAGAATGATTGTGAGAGAAATGAATCATGTTGGGAGATTTCAAGGGGCCTGAGTTAAAAAGGAGAGTGTTCCTGGGTTTCTGAAGTACACGGCACAACATGAATGGAGTACATTCCTTTTGCATTCTATTACATGGGGAAGGCCTTCTTTTAAATGGTCGCACTTCAGTGGGTGAACGCTGTTTCACCCCAAACGGGTTCTTTACAGCCTCTTTCGACACATGCCCCGCCAAGGCACTATCTGATCTTTTGTGTCTTTCTCCCAGCATGCCGATGGAAGCTTTTGTGTGAAGCCCCTCAAACAGAAGCAAGTGGTGAGTGTGTGGCTGGCATACAGTGGCAGAAGCTGTGTAGTGCAGCCTTGTTCCCAGTTCACCTTTCCAGGGGAGCTGTATGTGCTGTTTGTTAGAAAAAGCATTGCAGGGACTCTCCCCACCCCTGAGATGGGCATTTTATGGGGGCTCCGGAGATGTATGCACCATCCAGCCCAATCCCATCTCCAGGCACTGCCTATAGCAGAAAGTTTGTAGTGAAAATGGAAGGGGGGAAGCTGGATGGTTCAATCTTGTAATCAAAAGAGGTTGGGGTGGGCAAGCAGCATTGGAGAAGGCTTCCTCGCAAGCTGAGTTCAGTGCTCTGAAACAGACAATCCTCTTTTGAGTGAGGCAGACACAAGGAAGTCATTTCTTTGTGAGCTCTCTGCAACCTTTGTTCTAGAGGACCTCAACTCTTCCTTTCTCCCATAACGTGTGTGTGTGTGTGGTTTTTTCCCTAGGTGGATGGTGTGAGTTACCTGCTTCAGGAGATCTATGGAATAGAAAACAAATACAATAACCAAGATTCCAAGGTGAGAACTGGAGCTGGAGAGACAGGGCAAATTACATGTTGTTCACATAAGACGTTTATTTGTTTTTGTAAACGAAAACCAATCTTGGAATGAGATTAGGATAAAAATTGCAATTTGTTTGGTTCCAGTGGAACACTTTTAACATCAAGTTGCTTACTGATTAGGTTTTATTTCCCCCCCCCCACCCCCCATATCTTTGCAAACCTGCCAAAACAGCACTCATATTCTGCTCAAAGTTGTTATAGAAATGTTTGGATGTCAATAACGTGTCTATGGTGGCAAGTGAGACTGTGGTTTGCTCTGCTTTTCTACCCAGGTGGCGGAGGATGAGGTGAGCGACAATAGTGCAGAATGTGTGGTCTGCCTCTCAGATGTCCGGGATACCTTGATCTTACCTTGCCGCCACCTTTGCCTCTGCAACACCTGCGCCGACACCTTGCGCTACCAAGCCAACAACTGCCCCATCTGCAGGTTGCGTAAGTCCCGGCACTTCTGCATCTTAATATTGGGCCAAAGTAGGTGGACTTCATTTCCTCTGGAAAGTCAATAGCCTCTCTTACTTGAATATCTAACAGAGGAAATTCAACAGTGTATGAACGTACTGTGCCAAGTTCATTTAACTTGTGATGAAGACTCGTTTGTCAGGTGTACTGTCATCAGAGCATAAAAAACTACAGCCAACCCCTGCTTCTTATCTTATTTTAGCAGTTTTGGCTGGTGATGAGCCATTATAGCCCCAGATGTTCTATCAGCGTACAAGCAAAAGAAGCCCTTAAGACAAGCTCTGTCCTTGTAAGCATTTTGCTTTCCTTGAATGTTTTTAGAAGCTGTTTACACCCTTTCCATCTTAATCTCTCACCCTGTAGCATTCCGGGCCTTACTGCAAATCAGAGCCATGAGGAAAAAGCTTGGACCTCTTTCCCCAACAGGCTTCAACCCCATCATCGCCTCCCAGACATCAGACTCAGAAGAACACTCGGTTGGTATTGGCATGCTAACAGTTTGAAGGCTGCTTTATCTTTGCAGATCTGGTCCTTTGAGCTGTGAAATAGTTTTAACTTCCAGAATTAAAAATATCCTCCATGATTTAACTGCACAGACATTGTTCAAATGGGGCTTCAAATGGTGTTGAACCTATTTGTCCGAAGGACTACGCTCCGTTTCAGCAAAGCCCTCAAGTTCACTCCAGGGTTGGTGGGACCAAAGAGAAAGGGAACAGGGCAAAGAAAAATACCAGCATAGCTAGCATGGACTTCTCATTGCCAGTCACTAAGCTTGAGGAGCTACATTTCAACCTGTTTGAATGAGGAAAAGCTGGAAAGCTGCCACATGAGTGACAGTTCGGGGAAATGGAGCGGAGCCAAGAGAAGAGTGTGTGGAGAGCCCTGGAATGGGGCTGCCTGATAGTCTGGCAGTTAGAGATCATAGTCAGGAGCAGGAGGCACAAAATGTGTTCAAACACGGTGAGAGATCCATAAGGTTAGTCAGAGCCCACCCATATTTTATGCAGCAAGCATGTTTACAGTGTTTTCATGGTGCAGTTTTTTTACCATGATTTACCTGATCAAATGATTTCGACGTCCTTCTGGTGTCTGTCTTTCCTGCTCAGGCCTCCTGCTCTGTCAGCCACTGTGCCTGACCTTCAAGGAGCATCACTCCCTGCCTGTGTCCCCTGCCTCTTCCTTGTTGGTCCACATTTAGAGGTTGGGTGGCTGGAGCAGCACCTGCGGTTGCTACTCTTTCCAGAGGACTCTGTGGGACTTGCGCAGCATTACCACAGAAAGCACGGTCTTGCATTCAGACAGCTCCGCAAGCCATGGTGGTGCAGGGAAAACAAAGACAAAATGGTTTTTTATCTAGGCATGCAGTGAACATCTGTGGAATCTGTCCCTTTAGTATTTGCAGTCTTCCTCTAATGCTCCTCCTCGTCCTAGAAAGCAAGCCAAGAGGAAGTCCAAGAATGCTTGTGGAACGAAGGTTATGCAACCGCACCCTTCTTCCACATCACAAGGCATGTCATGCGCGGCACAGACAAAGGCTGCTGCATGCGATGCGGAAAAGGAATGTCGCTCGTTTGGGGCTTGACTCTTGGCAAGTGCCGTGTGCATGTTGGGTGCGCTCATCGAAAATGCAAGACTCTCGCCTGTAGCAAAGTGGACCAGAGTCCAAGGAGCCAAGCCTCGGGAATATGATGGGTTCCCACCCCTCGCATCCTTATTTTTAGCACAGTTGGTACCAAACTTTCCATGGTCAAATACCCTGACCACATGAAAGACCAGCAGTGGTAAGAAGCCACCACCATGGCTTGGGTTGTCTGAACACATCCGGTGTGTATAATGGTGTCTGCGAAGTGTGAAGAAGAACTGTGTTGGTAGGTATAGGTGGGGATGTCGGAGGGGACACTGACCAATCATGCTCCTCGGTGCGTAGCTACTACATGCTTACTAATAAGTGCTCGGTTTGGTAGGGAAGGAAGAGTGCTCTGGGTGCCTCCCATTGCACACTCAGTGGAAAGCTAACGACATGAATATACCATCTTATGCAAACCATCTGTATTAGCATGAAAGAGAGACCATATAATTACGTTTTTTTCCAGAATGGTGTTTCTTTCACAATCATTGGAGAAGCAAGGCATGTACAGCTACTAATACGGCTTCTGTTTAACTTGTAGCCATTCAGTTTGCTCAATAAATTTGTAACAAAACAACCACAGCAGTTTTTATATATCTCATTTTATTAAGAAGTGAAGAGCAGTTGATTGTCTTTCAAGCCAAATGGCATTGGCTTCTTGGCAAAAATGAAGCAAATGAAAGTCTTGCACAAGCCTGCATGGGTGAAAAAAGAAGGACCAGAGATCTCGAGGGTCCCTTGGCAGTGGAGGCATTTAAAACTCTAGCTTCTATCCTACAAAAGTCTTTTCTGCCCCAGCATCTTCGTAGCTCAGGACGTTTGTCACTGGCCATTTGTCTACATGCTCAGAATTTAGAGTAGTTTTTGCATCAGTCTGTTGGAGAACTGGGATCCCTTAGCACATGGGGGTTTTTGGAATATTGCTTCAGTCTCCAGATGGAACTCTGCATCACTAAACGCTTCTCCTCATGTATTGATTATCTTTTTAAACACCTTTCTTCTCAAGCCTAATCTCCTCTGATACATCGCCTGTTGTGTGCGCATGCAATTTTCTTTCCTGGTGAAATATGATCCCAGAACAAATTCACTGCTGCCTCTGCAGTGTGACAGAAGACTCCTAGTGCTTCCAACTGTAAAACATTGTACAGCTTTTTTCCCGCTTAATGGATTGTCTGCAATAAGGAAATAGACAGCAGGCAGGGGGTCAGGGGACAATGGAGGGTTGTGGGTAGAAGAACACAATGTCTCACTTTCCTGTAAAATTCTATGAATGAGTCAGTGTGATGGTACTATAAAAGCCTCATCTAAGAGCACTAATTTTGCTAAGCCAGGTTTTTTTTCATGTTTAGGGTAAGAGCATGCATTATATCTTCTTGACTATGGGTATCATTTGAATAATTGCATGCTGCATACAGGAAGATTCCTGGACTTCTCTGATAGCCATGCAACCTCAGCCTCTTCCTCCAGCCAGTAATCCAAATCCTCCTATCCAGAATAAACCATGCACATTGTGCAACTTCATGTGAACTAAGCAACTCTTATTTCGAATCTGTGGTCTAAGCTTTCTCTTTCTATTTCGTGTTAAAGTCAAGAGTGGAGCTTTGTGTTCTTTTCGAGCTCTCCGATTTGATTGATTCTGAGGCGAGTGCCCTTCTCACCCCTCCCCATCTCTGGTTCTTCCAGTCGTCAGAGAACATCCCTCCGGGCTATGAAGTGGTCTCCCTTCTGGAAGCCCTTAATGGGCCTCTCACCCCGTCCCCAGCAGCCCTGCCACTCCACGTGCTTGGGGACAGCCATGTGCCAGGCATGCTGCCTTCGTACGGCAGTGACAGCCACCTGCCTCCTGTCCGGACACTCTCTCCCCTGGAACACCTGTCGGATTGCGGCAACCAGGGGCTCAAGCGAAAGAAAAGCCTCTCTAAGTAAGTTGCCCTGCACTGCAAAGTCTGATGCCCGGTACCCCTGATCAGTCATGATGTTGTTGTTGATGATGTTACTTCTCATTGCATAAATCCCACAGTCATTTACAAAGGGGTGCAAAAGTAAATAAACATAAAAATGGTTTTGGAGAGGGTTTCATGGATAGCTTGGAGCAGGGGAAAATGCAAAGAGAGTCATTTTCAGTACATGTCTGAACATAGAGGGGAAGGCCTGATGTACCTCAGAGGAGAGGCCATCCCCCAGGATAGGCACCCTTACAAAGGGGACCCATCTCCATGTCTCTGCCAAAAGGAAAGTTGCAGGCCATGTTAGGGAGTCCCCAGAAGGTCCTGGTGGCCTGAGAGGTTGCTCCAGGGGGAGCTGTTCCTTGCAGTGTCTTCTCCTGGCTGTATAGACTGCTGCATGCTAATACCAAAAATCTGACCTGTCTAATTCTGTAGCAGACTAGCAGCCAGTGTACATCATTACAGCAGGCTGATTCTATATTGTTATCTGAGGCAGTAACTGAGCCACTGCATTCTGCATGAGTGTTTATGTTTGCTGCCCCAGCCTAGCTGCCTTTCTGATGTGCCTAGCCAGTGGTGAATGTGGCCTTGCGTCTTCTGTGGTGACCTGTAGATCTTCAGAGCCCCCTTTCTTTCCTCCCTTTTAGTTTCTGCTAGAAGAAAAGTCACAGTTCAGCTGTTTCTTTTTGCCAGGTCAATCTCCCAGAATTCCTCAGTATTACATGAAGAGGAAGATGAAAAGACCTGCAGTGAATCTGAAATCAGGATTTCCAGAAGGAAGTCTCCTCATCCTCATGAGGAGGTAATTGATTCTTTGGGAAAGTCTCTATTCAAACACTGCCCCTCTCTCTCTTCCGTTCACCCATCTTTGCAGAATAGTTGTGTAAAGCTCAAATTAGGAGGGGCTGATTGTACAGGTTGCACTTCAGAGATCCTACCCCACTGGCTTTGGTCACCATTCATAGAAAGTGAAAAGGGATGCTGGGGAAGTTCTCCAACATCAGGCTTGGAAAAGAACTTCCGGTGCTTATAAAAGCTGAAGGTGATCTCAGTAAGGTCTTGGATTCTTCTTAAGCTCAGATTCCAATCTGGACCCAGAGAAGAAATGTTTGGCTTCTGTGGTTGATAAATATTTTGCCAGGCCAGGTGAATTTTCTCTTAGCTGGGAATCACAGAGGCTTTGGAAGATGAAACTGCCATTGCTTCGCTGCAGAAGCTCTCACGAGCCCCTTAAACTTTCCTCTATGTAGTGTGAAAGAAGTAGGCCACTCCATTGCATAGTTTCGGGCCAAGTTTAAAAGGTTATCTTTTCCGCAACTCAGGCTGCCTTAGAAAATGATTTGAGAAATATTTCCTTTTTTTAAAGAAAGGCTGGGATCTTTCCCAGATTAATCTGAGACAACCTCTGGAGATTTGGCCCATACCTAACTGCAAGACCAAGCACAAAGCTTAATGAAATAGTTGCTTCATTGGAAAGGACAAAATTTTCCTTCTTTTTTCAGGAATGTGGTGTGACACCAGAAAGTGAAAACCTCACCTTATCCTCCTCAGGAGCAGTAGACCAATCTTCATGTACAGGGACACCTCTCTCTTCTACTATCTCTTCCCCTGAAGGTAATATAGGAAAGGGCCACCTGTCTTGATTCTGGGGGCACATCACCAAGAGACACAGAGGGCTAGTTACCTTACTGCCCTCCCTGGGAAAGGGGAAGTTCTACATAAACCGGGTGCAGGTAGTCTGCGTGGCTCAGGTGCACATCCAGTATGAACACTGATTGGCTCTTCTCAGTAATGGTTTTCTGGATGTATTACCTTTGGTCTTGTTTTTCTGGAGATAGTGCTCAGTAACTAATAGTGACTAGTGCCATTTCTATAAGCTTGGGAAGCAGTTTGATTGAAGGTGTAAGTGGATTGATTTTTTTTTTTTTTTGAGCCTTACATAAGCTGCCCAAGGACAGTGGAGAAGGGATAGTGCACTTTCTACCATTTCTATGAGTTTTTTTCCAAGGAAAGTGAGGCATTGTTTGTGAACGGTAGCATGAAAATCTAATGCATTCTGCATAATTCTGCTGTACCACAGTACCGTGTTATGAAATGGAACATATAGAAAGGCAGCCAAAGAAAAATCCTCAGAAAAATATGTAAAGAAGCTGATCTCAATTGTCCAAAGAATTCAGAAGCTGAAACCTCAGTAAAGTGGTGGGTTAAAAGCCCCAAGTAGAAAAGCCCCCAAAGCAATATTAAAGCAGTAGGAAGAAAAAAGTGATGTAATATTACTGCAGCGCACACTAGAATGAGCACTTTGCTATTCTGGGCAGGTGTTTGGGGTGAATCTTGAAAGCTTCTAAAAGGCCTAGTTTCTTAAAGCGCATCTTGTCCTTCCACCCAGCAGTGTTCAAGCCAGCAAAAAAGTAACGCACAGTCAGCAGCAGCAGCAGCAGTCAGACGACGGCTCTCTTCTAACTGGTCTCCTTGCCATGTGTTGCCTGCACCTCCCCCTCTTTCCTTAGATCCCGTTAGCAGCAGTCTGGCCCAGTCGGTCATGTCCATGGCCTCCTCCCAAAGCCAGCATTCTGAGATCAGCACTGACACGCTGTCTTCCATGTCAGGCTCCTACGTCGCGCCCGGCACCGAGGAAGAGGGAGACATGATCCCGTCCCCTGCTGTGGCCAGTGGGTTACCTTCCGAAGGAGATGTGAGTTTGGCGGGCCGGATGTGCTGATCAGGGTGCAAGACGGGGGCAGAAAGTGTCTGATTGGAGGATGAGGAGTTAATGTCTTCGATGAAAACTCATTGACCTAGGCAGTTTCCCCCCACCTGGTGCCCTTTAGAAGTATCGGACTTCTTATGTCCATAATTCCCAGTTTCAATGCTGGAAATGATGCGAGTTGTAGTCCAGCAAGCTGGAAGGCACTGGAGCGTTGGTGGCTGGAGTAAGGGAATGTTCCTGGCAGGGTTGCCAAAGCTCTTCATATAGCTCCTGATGGCATTCTAAAATGACACGTAGTTTGTGACACTATCTAAACCCGTGCGTTAGTTTTAAGGAGTTAAGTCAAGCCATTTCCATGCTTGCTGGGTGTTATCCAGCACTGCTGTGACACATCTGACATTCTGGGCCGCTGGAAGTGTGTGTAGCTACCAGCATGTTGAATGTGGTTCAGCCAACATTGTTTAGGAGGGACAGAGACCGAGACGGCGATAGCCAGGCTGAATCTTCACTTGCATCTTGTTCATATTCCAATTTGAAAGGTGAAATAAAGACCCACATGAGAGATTAAAACATGAGGGAATGTGTGGAGTGTTGGGGCTGATACCACTGGTGCAATTTGCTGAATGGACTTACCCTGGTGCTACAGGAAACCCACCAGTGAGTCCAAGTCTCTTCTTCTCTTTTCTCTTAGTCAACCCCTGTGGAATCGCCCGATGCAAACTTTGTCAGTATCTCAGCAGAGGAGCAAGATGCAGAGGTAAAGCTCCACCACTGAAAGCCTTTCTTAACATATGGGGTCTGAAGGGAGTGGTCGACTTTGAGTTAAAAGTCAACAGCTGTCGCCTTTTTGTGCAGATGCCTGGTTTGAGGACCCAAATACTAAGGCTTTCAAGAGGAGGGGGAGAGGGTTAGGGCCATGTGATAAAATAAAATGCTGTAATCAGAAAATGCACTACATTGGGAAGCTCAGGTTCATCGCAGATCAGATGAAGAGCAGGATCCAGGTTGGGTGATGTAGTGAAGGGGGAGCAGGTGCAGGAACCGAGGACCACGCAGCCAAGAAACCTTTAGCTCCCTACAGTGAGATGCTGTAACAGGATGGCCTAACTAAACTCTGAATCTGTGCGAGCAGAGTTATTAACTGAGCATATTCTTCAGGGAGCCATTCCTTTTTGCCCTGGCAAAGCAGCCTTTGCCTGTATGGCAAAGTACCAGGCACAAACAGTCAACACTTCAGTCCTCAGACATCCGTGGTGGCTTTGTGGTGGTCCAAGTCCCTCCCCACTGAGGTTCACAAGACAGCCTCCAGCTGAGTTTCTTTGAGTGAAGCTTGGATCAAGTCTCTTGCTTGATGCTTCTATTATAGCATTCCTCTTTGATGACTTATAGGAGAGTGCGTGAGCTAACCGTAGCATTTGGTTTAAATGACTACAACTTAACCCTGAGACAGAACTGCATGGCACATTGATCAAAGCGTTTTAACTGCAGAGGAACCTTCACACCTACATTCTTCCCCCTATACTCCGTAATGGTACAGCCAGCAAGAGCTGTACCACAGGTCGACTCTCCTGTGTTTTTCAGCTCCTTGTAGAGAAATGAAATTGAACAGGGGTGAGCAACTTGTGACCTTTCAAGTGCCTCACTGGTTAGGGTTAATAGTAGTTGTAGGCCAAAACAGCTGGAGGGCCACAAGTTTTCTGCCTGTGCTATAGAAGGCAGCTTCCCAGTGTTTCCTGACTGAGCAAATGCCACTCTGCTATCTCAGTTTCTGCTTTCCTCAGTAAATAACAAACACTTTATTATTTCACAGTCACGCTTTGTTCTCTTTTGTGGCAGGGGAATGATGTCATGGAGGAAGAGGACGCCTCTCCCACACAGGAAGATGGTAACAGAGACCGGCACCTTCTTCCTTGTTCCATTTTCCTTCTGTTCCCCATCCTGCTGGCCATATTCACAGTGGAGCATAGAGTGCAGCCGAGGAGGGTGGACCTCCGGACAAGTTCAGCTTTATTTGTTGAATGTGCATGTAGTCTGGTTGGAACGGTGCGTGTGAGGGGGCAGGGAACAGAAATGCAAGGGACGTAATGGCTCTTCCAGCACATCTGCAGAGTGTGTGTTTCTCTCCAACTGAGACAGATCAAGAAAAAAGGCAGTTTTCTCCCTCCCCTGCTACTCCTATCATCTGCTTTTCTTCTGAGATTAACATTTAGGAAATTGGTCAGGACGCAGTCCAAAAGTCAAGACTGTGCACATTCTATTTAGGTGCTGCTTCTGGCAGAGGTTTGGCAGGTGGCATTTCCTCTGGGGAATTTAATGCATGCCTTTGTTAATGACTGTTCATGGTATACTTCAGTGATTCTTTAGGGTCAAGTTCTGCAGTAACTTGAAAAGCATAAACAAGGTGGGTACCAGTGCTCTTAACTCATAGTTAAGGTGTTTGGTCCCACCTAAGTTGGGTCTGATACTGTTAAAGTCCACTGAGAAGCTGTAATTGTAGTAAGTAGACAAAGCTGCAGAAAGGAGCTTCCTCTCTCTACCTTAGTGTGGGGCATATTAGAAAGCAAGTAAAACACTCAATTTCATAGAGGTTTATCAGATGACTTATAAACTGCAAAGGAGAGGCAGTCTGTAGCCCTCAAATTGCTTCTGGTTGGCTCATGATCTCATCTTAAAACTCTTGAGAGTGTCATCTCCCATTTTTAAAATTTAAGTTCAGGTCTTCCTGGCAAATAGCAATGTCAAAATGTTTAACAAGCAGGTTAAACCCATACGTATTATGATAGTAGAAGCTGGAAGCGCTGAAGCCTTCGCTGATCAGTGGCAAGTGAAACGTTTGAATTAGCTACAGGTTTCTGCCCTGTGTTATGCTTGCAGAGGTGTTGACCAGGATAGTTAATCCCATTTCAGGCTGCTACTGATATAGATACATATACAGATAAACCTTCATCAGAAGTTGGACCAAATTTACCAACATCTGGAGCAAATTGTAATTTCTCTAAACTCTGCCGACCTGTTCAGGGTGATGAGGAATCTGACACCGTGACCCTTTTCTTTTTCTTGTCTTACCCCCCTCTAAGTGGATGCCAGGTAGTGGAACCATTTTCAGATGAGGAAGTAAAGATGCTCAAGACACCATGGTTTCTTTTCTGTGACTGTGGATGCCACTCTCTTTCTTCCTCCCTGCACTTCTGCTTCCCACAGCTGGAGCTTTTGCTTTAGTGCCATCTGTGTTTCTGAGATTGCTGTGTTTTGCATGCTTATCTCTTACAACAGTCATGCAGTGAAATACTTCAACACATACTCAGCAGCCCCCTGCATGAACCAGATCAGCCAGCATATTTGACTGTATATCAGTTTTGCTTCTTAGCGCTGAGCCAAACCATTCAGAGAGAATCTGTCACCGTCAGGATTTCTTCTAAAATCATGCAGATCCTTTTAAATGGCACGCGCAAGGGCTCTGTTTGGAAGTCCCAGTGAGCTGCTATGGTATTCTTGGGTCTCGCTTGTTTTTGTGCAGTTATTAGGTAAAGGCTCACATTGCTAGGATGTGTCTCTTCCAGTGCTTGTGTCCAGGGCTGTTAGAGAAAGGGAGGGAGTTGCTCATGAGAGCTGCCTTTTCCAGCTGCCAAAATCCTTGTCCAAATAGCCCAGTGAGAATCTTTCCTGTTGCAAGGTCCTTGCTTTCTCTTTTTGAAAGTCATGTTCATTCTCCTGAGGACATCTAGAAGTCCCATGTCCCTTTTCCATCTATGCATTTCTGTGGTCATTCTCTAAAATTGAATGGAAGTAGTACACTGCAAGCTTTCTCCATGTACAATTAGAACTGGTTAAAATGAATGCCATTGGGTTTAGAGCTCTTTCACAAGTGGTAAAATCTGGAGTGGGTCATTCCTGAATGTTCTTGGCCACTGTAGAAATGTGAGGAGCAGCCTTTTTAAATGTGCATTTGGCTCCACACATTTCTCATTCAGTTTAAAAATGTGGGACATTCAAGTACTGCCTAGGTACGAAATTGCACGTAGTAGCAACCGCAGTTAACAATCCTCAGAAATGAAAAGACAGTGCGATGATAACCCAATGAGAAGACCTGCTTTGGATGTGATGGAGGAAGCACCAAGAAGCCATGTTTCTGCTTGCCACAAGAAGCTCTGCATGCCCAAATCCGCTCTATAAACTCATACCAGTTGTACGACAGTGTCACCTTTGTGGCATTCCTCAAGGAATCCTGGAAAATGTATTTTTGTGAAGGTACAGTGAGAGTATGGTGCCACCTCTCCTCATAGAACTGCCATTCCCAGGAGCTCCTCCTGAAGGGGTTGTGCTCAGGGCACTCCTCTTTCCAATATTATAGTTAGGGATGCTTTTGTTTTACAGGAGGGTATGGTTTCTGTGATGTTGTACTTGCTGGGAAGGTAATAATTTATTAGGCCTTTAAATTACTGTGTATATGATTTTTTTAAAAGGTCCGAAGGGCTCAGGCACTGGCCAGAGCTCAGCAAAAAGCATGAACTGGTGAAAGTCTTGCAAAGCTGTTTGTTTGCTGACTCTTTCCCCTGATGCTGCATAAACCTGCCTCATTACAGACACGGTTAAATGCCCTCCGGTATCCCATTGGCAACAATTGTCTTGAAACATGAACAAAAATGGAGGCAGCTGAGGAAACCAGTCAGGATGGCTGATGCAGACACATCGCGATTGAATGCCTTATTGTCCACTGTCTACCCCCACTGGCTAGAATGGTCGAGGTTTCCTTTCTCTTCCAATGTCTGATACAAAATGTTGTCCTTCCCGTTGTTGTAAGGAGGAGGAAAAGGGTTAAACGCAAGCCCCAGCCCCTCTCTAACTGCATTAACTCCCTTACAGGCCAAAGGACAGGCGCATACCTAGGTATGGAGTGTGACAATAACAATGACATTGGCAACGCAAGCGTGAAAGCACTGGACAATAAGCTGTGCTCTGAGGCCTGCTTACCTGGTGAGTGGCAGTCTGCTGAACATGAACTTGGAGGGGAGGTGGGAGGGGAATCTTTTACACATCCCACCCACTTTAAATGCCTGCCATTTGTCCGACAGCTGTTAGAGCAGTAATACTTGCATACACAGAGAGTCGTACAGCATGAGGAAATAGGTCAAAGGACGGAGCTCAGCTGTGGCAGCCTCCTGATCGTCCACACATTCTGGGTTGCCCTGCCCTACTGTGCATCTCACTACAATGTGCAAATACATTTCAGGATTCCTAACTTTAAGCCAGACTTTTACAATTGCTTTCTCCAATCTCAAGTGAACTCTGTGAATTGTAGTTTCTTGAGGGGGCTGTAACTTCTGGATTAAGAGTTCCTTGCCCATTAGTTTTTTATCCTTTTTGACTTCAGAGCTATATCCAACTACTAACATGGTATCCACTTGTAATGTGTACCCTCTATTTCCATTTAAATCTGTTTCACCTCACCTTCCTTTTTCTCTCCCAATGCTCAGCTCTTTCTCAGTTTATAACTCTTTCTGAAGGCCCTGCACAGAACTGCAATTGCCAGAGTTCTTTGGAGGAAAGCCATGATGGAGAAAGCAATTATATTAGCATACACATGGCAGAAGAAACTTGGCTAACTGTTAGATCTGAGCCCAAGATTCACAGAGTACAAGGGTAGCAGGATATGTGAAGAGCTCCTAGATTGGCCAACACACACACACACACACACACACACATACAGCAAAGTCTTCAACAAGTGTTGGCTAGTTCCATTGGATACAAGATTAGTTTACAGCATTGTTTCACCCAGCTACTGAATTTTGTACCAAAATACAATCCAGTTATTGCCCTTAATTTCATGGTATTTCTAACACACAAAGCTGTTCAGATTTTGGTCTTTCTTTAGATGTAAGCCTACTAGTGACCAAGTTAGTTGATGAATGAGCATGAACATAGCCTTGTTAAAGCCACATTTAATATTCTTTGGCTTAGTCCCACTATCACACCCCCACCTTCCTTTTTTACTAACCGTGGGTCTGTCTCGTTTGTGTCTTTGCTCTTTCATTGACCTTTTTGCCCCACTGGATTTCATCAGTGTGAAAGTTCATGTTCACTCTACGCCAACACAGTTCTCGTTTTTGTTTTTCTTAACCCATGCTTCCATCCCTTCTCCAGGTTGCTGAATGGTTGAAAATCTTACTGACTGGCCTTTCATGGGTCTGGAAGAAACGGAAGTGTGGGCAAAATAGAATCATTCTTTACAGATACAATAAGTGGAATTATGGGTCTAGGACTGAGGAACTCTAAACCAATGTTGGCTCTGATTGGAAACCATGCTCAAAATCCCATGCCAGTCCCATTGAAATGCATGGGGCTGGTGCCACAACAGTCCTCAGCAGATTGCAACTTCGGGTGCTGTCTAGAGACATTTTGGCATGCCTGACTTTTGTTGTACAAGGCTCACGTGAGCTTAACTTCCACCGATTTCAACAGGACTTAAATGTGGCCCAAATCCTCTGGGTATGGTCCCAACTGTCAAAATGTAGATGCATCAGACCCTGCCTTACATGTCAGTAAATTTCCCGCCATTTTGTAAAACCACAGCAGCCCATCCCTTGCTTCCTTCACCTTCCTCCATGCTTGAAGGCTGTAAATGTGAAATGCCTGTAAGAATTCTTTTGGTTGGTCTAGTTGACTGCTCCTGGAGGGGAAAGTTTTCTTAATCTCCTCCTGCTTTCTTACATAGATGCTAGCGAGCTTCACCCTCTTCTTCTACTGTCAACCTGCCCCTTTCTATAATTTATTCCACTTGGGAAATACTACAGTTAATCCAAGCTTTGCTGTGCAACAGCATATGCGCCAGCAGATAAGAGACCCTCTAACAATGGCAACAAACGGCATCTTTCTTCTGGGGCAGGAATCATTTAAACACAGCTGCATGCAAGGTCATTGGAAGCTACGAGGTGAAAATAGTGCATCGTATTCTGTCCTTGTCACATTAGTACCTCTGAGCAATATGTGTCTGTGTAAACGCCAATTGCTGGGCAAAATCCTACCAGGAGCCTTGTTAAGCACAACGTACTGCATATCCATGACCCCTCTGATTGTGAACTTTCCAACTGGGAACTGTTCATAATTCTGCCTCAGTTGAGCAGATAAGGATCAGTTGTTCATATTTAGTACTATTTTCCACGCAGCCCTTGAGACAGGTTGGCTACCACTGGAGGACAGATGAATAAATCTTCGGAAGATTTTTTTCCAGAGATCGTCAAGGGGCTACTAGAAGCTTAACAGCCATAGAACTGGAGCAAAGATTCATGCTACCTGCCCCTTCTTATCTAACAAAGCCACCAGTATGGATGCAATGGGGATCCTAGATTACTGTTTCCCAAACTGAGCCCTTGGAACAGCAGATCAGCATCCCAAAGATTCTAATGGGTTCCAGAAGAGTTCTGCTGAATCTACCAAAAGAAGAGGTAAAATGACAGTTACTCATGCGCAATATACTGTGCAGTAAAGCATATTTTGTACAGCCCAACACCAGTGGAATTGCAAGCAGATCAGTTTTAGTATTTCAGGCAGGCAAGGAAAGGAATTCATAGCTTGACATCCTCTGCCATAGTAAGACTATAAAGAAAAATGCACTGCTGAGAAGTATTCCTAACACTGGATGTCATACCTTTTCAGGAAGCAAAAAAATCTACAAAAATGGTAAGGGCACATTTGAGCCTGCGTGTGCTTTCTGCCCGCAGAGACTACAAGAACTGAATTGGCATCAGCTTTTTCTTCGCTTCCTCATATGTAATTCACATTCAGCGAGAACTGGCAATTGTTAACAATCATCTCATTACTGGCCAACTAAATTAGTTTAAGTTAAATATCTTATGCTTCCTGTTTCCTCACTAAACTGTGGAGGTGAAGCCTGTTTCTCTGGAAGTGTTACAGGGAAACCCGTTCCTTTGTGCACTTGGTTGTGGAGCAAGTTTGAAATAAGACCAGTACAAGGAGTGGCACTGGATGGATGGACCCTCACCCTCACCCGACCCCGTCCCAGCTGCATCTGCACACTCGCAGGGAGCTTTCCCCACTGCCTCCTGCAGCATTTATTGGAGGGCCATTGGACATGACGAGCCCCGTGGAATAAATTGGATGATGAATGTGCGGTCGCACAATGTGGCTTTATTTTCTCAGGCTTATGTGCCCATTGGTTTTGCTGCTTGCAGGAACCTTTTGCAGATCTGCCACAAGCTGCAGTGTACGTAGATATGCAAAGCAGGCGAAAATGCTCACACACCCTGGCTGCAGTGCATTCTTGGGCAAGCCTGTGCTTTTGCTTTGCACACAATCAAGATGGAGCATGTACTTCCCTCTGCGGCACAGAAGCTGTATGTGGAGCACAGCAGGGATGGACTCCTGAGCTGCCGGTCCACAGGTGCATGTGCCCCCAGGCCCTTTGGCCTATGGGTAGATGGATACTCTGTACGGCTGATTTAAGGGCAGAGGTGCATTTCTGAAGTTGTCCTCTAGTTTCCCTCACACTCCATTTTCTTCACTCCAAAGTTTGAACTCTTATTAATTAACTTCCTCTAGGTACACTATTTTAGATTATCTGAGGGGTAATCCCATCCTGTCTCAGCTTCCTTTGTTTTGAGTCTCTGGAGGCACTTTTTTCTTTTTCTTCTTTGAAAGGGTGAATTGGTACAAAGGTAAGTAAGACAGCTAATGAACATGACAGGTATTCATTCATTCAGGAGAACAGATGGTTTACCTGCAAGATGTCTTCCACCTGTGAGTTTTCCACTCTGAGTTGCCTTTGGGTAGAAAGGCCTGGTGCCAATTAAATGAGAAGGAGAGGTAGTACGATAAGGTCTGTTTCTGTCTCAGGTGCACATGCAGGAAAACTAAACACACAGAAATTCTGTCCACTAGTCAAGATTGTCTTTCTTGCCAGGTTTCTCTTCCTGGAGCACACTCATTCCCACCACCCACTCACATGCATGTATTTGGGAGCAGGGTAGAGGAGTGCGCCTGCTTGCACGCACCACTCGCACGTGAAACAATGGGGGCATGTTTGGTGCCCTAGAGAAGAAAAAGTGGCATGAATGGGGCCCCAAGAGATGTGCCAGTCTGCAGAGTGGTGAAATGGGATTGGCTCGATGGCCACACGTAATCGGTTCTGACCAATCTGGTCCATCTCAAGGGGCTGTGTTTTGGCTAGTAGGCAATTTTAATGTCACGGGGCCAAGTAGCACTTCGTTCACAGAAATGTGAGTGTCTTCCAGCATTTTGCTTTGCTAGAATGATGTCTCCAAGCTGTAAGTCTCTGAGGGTCTTCACATAGCTCTCTGGTTAGAAGTCACTCTGACATGGTGGTTAGGATTTCTGTTGGATTTAGAAGCTACTGTGCGCTTTCTGATTATGACTAGACCATCCCATTAGCCATTGCTTCACTGTGAATTTTTAAAGACATGCTTAATTGTCTTGATGTTTAAACATGAAGGTCAGTGTATGGCACAAGTTAGCTTCCACTTTCATTGGTTTTTGGCTTTTGTCTGAAAGGTATGCTTAGTAATTTTAAATTCCGAATCTTCATATTTGAGGTTTGCATTACAATTAACATTGATATAAACCCCATGGTAACACTTTATGGCATTTCATGTAAGTGTGTTGATAAATCTGACATTTGGCCTATAGGTAGGCACCAGATCTGTTGATCAGCCTTACACTCTAACTGACGCTTAAACCAAAACAAAGTTAGTCAAGTCCACTCAGAATACTGTGTCTCTACTTTTGGCTGCATGTCATGTGGATTCTGATATGATCAGTTAGCAGCTCCCTTTATAGGATTGTTATATCGATAAGTCAGTATTCACACAAGAAACAGGGCCACATTTCCTGTTTCAGAATCTTTTCACATACCTGGTGGCTTAGAGCATGACTCCAAACAGCTGCAACTTCTAGGGTGGCACTGAAATACACTGTAGAAAATATTGCTCATTTTGTCCTTT